TCTATAGTCTAGTCTATAGTCTAGTCTATAGTCTAGTCTATAGTCTAGTCTATAGTCTAGTCTATAGTCTAGTCTATAGTCTAGTCTATAGTCTAGTCTATAGTCTAGTCTATAGTCTAGTCTATAGTCTAGTCTATAGTCCTAGTCTATAGTCTAGTCTATAGTCTAGTCTATAGTCTAGTCTATAGTCTAGTCTATAGTCTAGTCTATAGTCTAGTCTATAGTCTAGACTATAGTCTAGTCTATAGTCTAGTCTATAGTCTAGTCTAGTCTATAGTCTAGTCTAGTCTATAGTCTAGTCTAATCTATAGTCTAGTCTATAGTCTAGTCTATAGTCTAGTCTATAGTCTAGTCTATAGTCTAGTCTATAGTCTAGTCTATAGTCTAGTCTATAGTCTAGTCTATAGTCTAGTCTATAGTCTAGTCTATAGTCTAGTCTATAGTCTAGTCTATAGTCTAGTCTATAGTCTAGTCTATAGTCTAGTCTATAGTCTAGTCTATAGTCTAGTCTATAGTCTAGTCTATAGTCTAGTCTATAGTCTAGTCTATAGTCTAGTCTATAGTCTAGTCTATAGTCTAGTCTATAGTCTAGTCTATAGTCTAGTCTATAGTCTTGTCTATAGTCTAGTCTATAGTCTAGTCTATAGTCTAGTCTATAGTCTAGTCTATAGTCTAGTCTATAGTCTAGTCTAGTCTATAGTCTAGTCTATAGTCTAGTCCATAGTCTAGTCTATATTTTATAATCTAGTCTATAGGCTAGTCTATAGTCTACTCTAGTCTATAGGCTAATCTATAGTCTAGTCATAGTATAGTCTATAGTTAGTCTATAGTATAGTCTACAGTCTAGTTTATAGTTTAATCTAGTCTATATTTGACTCTTCTTATTGGTCAATAGTTTTGACTCTACTTAGACCAATTTTTGGTAATCTTGTCTTTGGTTCAGTATGTTGTCTTTTTTCTGCTGTAATCTCCTCGATGTAATCTCCACAATTTAAATTTACAAAAATTCATCATTAATAATTTCCTCTTAAGTGGTTCTTAAATGAATTTTATAAAGAATAAAAAACCGAATTAGCTGTTTAACCAGATTTAAATAACAGTTTGTGTCGTTTTGCAATTCAGTTAAAATAATAATCTTGTATATCTTGTTGTAGCAGCTGTTGCAAATAACAAAAAGCTAAAAAGACTAATACCAATTTAAATTAAAACATTAGCGCTTGTATTTATAAAAAAATCTTATTTTGCTTTTAATGCACTCAATAGTTAAATCACACTTTAGCCTTAAAAACCATTAATAAAATTGTGATATTCATAAACAAATAATAAACGTATATTAACTATTGTGCTGATTTATGTTTAAGTTGGCAGCACTGTAAAATATGGCTGTCATTTTATGTGTTAGTGTTGCGTACAATTAGGATAAAATATTCGTTGATTCGGTTTTCTTAATTTTATATTTTTGTTTATAATAGATTTTTGACAATAAAAACAAACTTTTAAGAAAAATAAATATATATATGGCCTTAATAAATGTCTATTTAGTTCAGATGAATAAATATAACATATAATTTCTAATTATTATTAAAAGTATCCGAATAACGGATATTTTGCGACAAAATATACATCACTATGACACATTTTCTTATTTTTACATATTTTGCTTGTAATTTTTGATAAATTTTTGCAAATATTGATAAATTTCTTTGATATTTGACTAATTTTAATGCCGGCGAATATATTTTGCATTAGTATAACACTAATCAATATAATTTACATGGTTAATTACTTTATGGCATTATATTTAACCAACAAACTTTGAAAAAGCCAAATCAAATGATTTTGTCCATCATTTGGTTGACCGACGGGCATTTCCAAATTTCCTAAAAATAGTGCTGGACAATTGGAATATTGTCAAATATTCATGCATTAATCCAATAATGCTTAGATTTGAGTTTTTTCCTCAAAATATAATCGTTTAAAAATTTTCTGGGATTTTATTTACAAATTTGTAAACGTTAAAATTAGAATTTTTAGATTTTATTTTAAAAGAAACCATTATTAGTTTTCGCAATCAACCTAAAATTACCGGGAAAATCTTTATCTGAGAAAAAAATTGTTAAAAATCAAGTTATTGTTGGCTTAAAGAAGGGTCGAGCCTACAATAAAATTCTTCTAATTGTCAATGGTTTATTGAAGGTGTTTTAAGCTATTTCACGTTTATAAATACGATTTTCCTGAATTTTGCCTAAAATTGTTTAATAAACCTAAAATAAGTTTTTATAAATACAGCCGTAGGTATTTATTTATTATGAACGCAATTTATTAAGTAAAATATTAATTTTGTTAATTTATTTAAAAATTTCTGGTGATTTTTTTTGTCTCAACATATCTTGAAAATTTTAAATATTTGTTACAACAAAACAATTCTCTGAAATACATATTTCCATGAAAGTAAGGAAATCTTACATTTGATGTCTTTAACAAGAAATATTCCTGGGAGTTATTGTTCATTTCTGCATTTAATATGCCCTTTTAGCTTAAAACAGGAAAAATAATAAAACAAAAAGATACCGGCTTCGTTTCTCTAGTAGAAAATGCTTTTAAATGTATATTTACATCTTAGGTATATCTATGTATTTGCGTATTATTTATTTTTTTTTTTTTTTTTTGTTTGAGCTTTAAATTCCAAGAATTTTTCCATGTTAAATCAGTATTCTAAGGAAATTGTTTACGGTTTGTTAAACAATTTATAGTTATTTGGAAAATGGAAAGAAGTTAATACCAAGTGGGCTACTTATAGTACTGTTAGTCAATTTAAATTTTACTACTAGCTGTATCAATGACTATAGTCCAATCTGTAAAATTAAGCCAATTCTATTGGTTTGACTGTAGTCTACTGTATTGTCTGGACTATAGTTTAATTTATAGTCTGGACTATAGCTTAATTTATTGTCTGAACTATACCTTAATTTATAGTCTGGACTATAGTCTAGTCTAAAGTCTGGACTATAGTCTAGTCTGTAGTCTGGACTATAATCTAGTCTATAGTCTGTAATATAGTCTATTGTATAGTATAGGCTATAGTTTGGCACATAGACTGGAATATAGTTTAGTTTAATTTTGTATTATGGTTTAGTCTGTAGTGTAAACTATAGTCTACTCTATAATTTAGACTATAGTTTAATCTATGGTCTGGACTACAGTTTAGTATATAGTCTAGTCTATAGTGTGGATTGTAGTCTAGTCTAGTCTATAGTCTGAACTATAGTCTAGTCCATAGACTGGACTATAGTCTAGTCTATAGTCTGGAATATATTACATAGTCTGAACGAAAGTCTAGGGTATAGTCTGCTCCATAGTCAGTACTTTAGTCTAGTCTATAGCATGGACTATAGCCTAGCCTATTTTCTGGCCAGTAGTCGATATTCTGAACTATAGTCTATTATATTGTCTAAACTATAGTCTATAGTCTAGTCTATAATCTAGTCTATAATCTAGTCTATAGTCTAGTCAATAGTCTAGTCTATAGTCTAGTCTATAGTCTAGTCAATAGTCTAGTCTATAGTCTAGTCTATAGTCTAGTCTATAGTCTAGTATAGTAGTCTATAGTCTAGTCTATAGTCTAGTCTATAGTCTAGTCTATAGTCTAGTCTATAGTCTAGTCTAGTCTATAGTCTAGTCTATAGTCTAGTCTATAGTCTAGTCTATAGTCTAGTCTATAGTCTAGTCTATAGTCTATGTCTATAGTCTAGTCTATAGTCTAGTCTATAGCTAGTCTATAGTCTAGTCTATAGTCTAGTCCCTATAGTCTAGTCTATCGTCTAGTCTATAGTCTAGTCTATAGTCTAGTCTATAGTCTAGTCTATAGTCTAGTCTATAGTCTCGTCTATAGTCTAGTCTATAGTCTAGTCTATAGTCTAGTCTATAGTTTAGTCTATAGTCTAGTCTATAGTCTACTCTATAGTTAGTCTATAGTTCTAGTCTTAGTCTAGTCTATAGTCTCGTCTATAGTTCTAGTCTATAGTCTAGTCTATAGTCTAGTCTATAGTCTAGTCTATAGTCTAGTCTATAGTAGCTAGTCTCTAGTCTAGTCTATAGTCTAGTCTATAGTCTAGTCTATGTCTAGTCTATAGTCTAGTCTATAGTCTAGTCTATAGTCTAGTCTATAGTCTAGTCTATAGTCTAGTCTATAGTCTAGTCTATAGTCTAGTCTAGTCTAGTCTATAGTCTAGTCTATAGTCTAGTCTATAGTCTAGTCTATAGTCTAGTCTATAGTCTAGTCTATAGTCTAGTCTATAGTCTAGTCTATAGTCTAGTCTATAGTCTAGTCTATAGTCTAGTCTATAGTCTAGTCTATAGTCTAGTCTATAGTCTAGTCTATAGTCTAGTCTATAGTCTAGTCTATAGTCTAGTCTATAGTCTAGTCTATAGTCTAGTCTATAGTCTAGTCTATAGTCTAGTCTATAGTCTAGTCTATAGTCTAGTCTATAGTCTAGTCTATAGTCTAGTCTATAGTCTAGTCTATAGTCTAGTCTATAGTCTAGTCTATAGTCTAGTCTATAGTCTAGCCTATAGTCTAGTCTATAGTCTAGCCTATAGTCTAGTCTATAGTCTAGTCTATAGTCTAGTCTATAGTCTAGTCTATAGTCTAGTCTATAGTCTAGTCTATAGTCTAGTCTATAGTCTATTAGTCTAGTCTATAGTTTAGTATATATTTTGGACTATAATCTAGTCAATAGTCTGTAATACAGTCCGTTCTATAGTCTGGACTATAGTCTTTTCTATTGTCTAGACTATAGTTCAGTATACAGTCTGGACAACTTGTATATAGTGTGGCCTATAGTCTATATTCTAAACTGAATCATAGTCTGGACTATGGTCATGTCTAAAATCTGAACTAGAATATCGCCTAGGGTCTATTTATTTATAATTTAAATTAAACAGAACTTATCAAAACCTAAAAGAAAAATACTCAATAAAAATATATAATAATCACTTACCCATTGTGACACGATCCCTTAAAACAGCTACACTTATCCATGAGCTCCAATAAAATAGTTATATTTTGACAAAATGCGTTACTTTTTATTCACTTTATCTTCTTTCTACTTTTCAAATTATAAATTCTTTACACTCATTTAAAAACAATTCACTCGTTGCTAATACTTTCTCTTTTTTTGAGTATTATTTTATGTAAAAAAATTTTAGCAATTATTTTTTATTATTTTCAAGCTAAAATTAAAATATTTTAACACTTTTTTAGAGATTTTTTGTAATAAAAATGACATCATTTAAAAAAAAAACTGCGTTCACTTTTTAACTGCTTTCTGGTTTTGATTACAGGATTCTTTTGTAAGCTGTTTTCATATTCCCCCTTTGTTTTTGCTATTTAAAATGTTAAGAGAAAGAAGAGTAGAAAAAAAACGAAGAAATTAATAGATTTGAAAAACTGTTATAGCATTTGTTGGCTAAAAGTAAAAATGGCATAAATTATAATTTTTCTAGTTAATAAAAAAAGCAAAAACAGAAAATGTTTAATACTCTAGCTGGCTGCAATAATAATAATTGTAATAATCATAGAGAGGAGTTGGAGGAGGGCCATAAAAGACACACACAGCACACAAAGTTGACATCAATTTTAAATTATTCCTTGATAAAAAAAATAAATTCAAATCTGTGCACTGTAGCGTATGAGTAATAATAATTAGAATACAAATTACAAAAAAAATGAAAAGAGTATAAATGACAATGTTGTAATAAGTATGCTATGCTTTTTGTTGTTGATTTTTGTGTGGTCGTTTTGTAGCGAGTTTAATTTATAATTAATACTTTAGGGAAAGTCTCTAGCATCAGATTAATTATGGGTTAAATACAGTTTAACTCTGTTGGAAATTTATGCAGGATTGTTTTGTTTTATTAAAATATGTTAATAAGGGTTTTAATATTAAAATAAAACATCATTTTACTCTCATTTATTTTTAATGAGATTTCTTTTTTGAGGATGGATTTTTAATGGCATGTTAAACTGGACATCATTTGCACATCAATGAAAAAAAAATTTTGTATAAAATCGAATTTTTTTTTCAAGTACTTAGAGAACAACTTATATATTTTAATGGCTTAAGAAATTATATTAGTTATGTAAAAGACAAAGAAAAAAAATTTATTTTATATTTTTTAATGGAATTCTTATTGTATATCATTGTTTCAATTATTTAAATTTAATGTAATTTTTTTAAGTTTTTTTTTATTTTCTTACTTTCTGAATAAATCATTCTTCATTCTACTACTGGTCAAGGAAAAAGTGACAACTCATGTTTTTAATTTCAATAATATTTGGTTTCATTAATGTAAACATTTTCAAAGTTGTTAATTTAATAAAAACAAAAATGGAAAATGTGTATTTCAATGACATTTTTATGGTCATTATATATCATCTTCTTTTTTTTTCTTGTGGAAAAGTTTTTATTTGTTTACTTTACTACAATACACTCAGAATAAAATTTCATTTAATTCTTATAAAAATTTTTATTAATATGATGAAACATTGTTAATCAAATTGCATAAATGGGTGCGATCGAAATCTAGGTTTTTAGAATTTAATTTTAATTGAATTTAACCAGCAAAATAGCTTATAGACTAGTTCATAGACTAGTCTATAAGGTAGTCTATATACTAGTCATAGTCTAGTCCATTGACCAGTTCATAGACTAGTTTAAAGACTTGTCCGCTACCAACTGACTAGTCCATAGACTATTACCTATTCCAGTCAATAGTCTACAGAATAGTGTAGAACTTGACAAAAACCCCATAGACTAGTCCATTGACTAGTCCATATATTATTTATTAATATATGGACTAGACTAATAGTTAAAAAAATAGCCCATCGACTAGTGCATAGACTTCTCAATAGACTAATCCATAGGCTAGTCTAGAGACTATTACATAGACCAGTCCATATGCTAGCCCATAGACTAGTTCATAGGCTAGTCCATGGACTAGTCCATAGGCTAGTTTAGAGATTATTCCATAGACTAGTCCATAGACTAGTCCATATGCTAGCCCATAGACTAGTTCATAGGTTAGTCCAGGCTAGTCTGGAGATCATTCCATAGGCCAGTGTAGAGACTATTCCATAGAGAAGTTCATTGACTAATCTATAGACTAATCCGTTGACTAGTCCAAAAGCTAGTCTATAGGCTAATCCATAGGCTAGTCCATAGTCTAGTCTAGAGACTATTCCATACACTAGTCCATATACTAGTCTAGAGACTATTCAATAGACTAGTCCATAGGCTAGTCTAGAGACTGTTCCATAGACTAGTTCATAAACTAATCCATAGGCTAGTCTATAGACTAATCCATAGGCTAGTCTAGAAACTATTCCATAGACTAGTCCATATGCTAGCCCATAGACTACTTCATAGGTTAGTCCATAGGCTAGTCTAGAGACTATTCCATAGACAAGTTCATTAACTAATCTATAGACTAATCCATTGACTAGTGCAAAAGCTAGTCTATAGACTAATTCATAGACTAGTCTATATGCTAGTCTAGAGACTATTCAATAGACTAGTCCATATGCTAGCCCATAGACTAGTTCATAGGCTAGCCCATAGGCTAGAGAATATTTCATAGACAAGTTCATATACTAATCCATTGGCTAGTCTATAGGCTATTCCATAGGCTAGTCCATAGACTAATCCATAGCCTAGTCTATAGATTGATACATAGCCTAGTCCATAGACTAGTCCATAGACTAGTCCATAGGCTAGTCTATAAACTATTCCATAGACTAGTCCATAGACTCGTCCATAGGCTAGTCCATAGACTAATCCATAAGCTAGACCATAGACTAGTCCATAAACTAGTCCATAGGCTAGCCTATAAACTAATCCATAATTCATAGTCATTAGTTCCATAAAATAATCAGAAACCAATTCATAAACTATTCAGTAGGTTAATCCATAAACTAATCAATAGGTTGGTTCATAATCGAAATCGTTCTCTCTCTTCTTCAATCACCCATTGTATTGGCCGAGAAAAACAAAAGAACTCTCTGGCTGCTTTTGTATTCGAAACCCAAAATTATTCTAAATCTCGAACTCGTTAGAAATTTTCAAAAGGAAATTTTTATTATTAATTGAACACAATTTGTCAAATTTGTTTATCATATTCTCTCAAATGTCCTTGAAACATCTTATTTTCATAAAATCCCCCAAATTCCTTGAGTGTAATTATATACATAGATCTTTTTTGTTTATTTTCTTTTATTTCTTACTTTTGACCTTTCAAGTTCTTTTTTCCTTTTTGCTAAGAAAATGTTCAAATTAGCTTCATTTATCATCACAGAAGAAGTAAGTTTATTATTTCACAAAATATGATTGTGTAGGTCCCAAGAGGTATTTTTTTGCTAAATTATACTAATTATATTAATTTAAGCAATTTCTGTTATTAAATCAATACACAAATTTTGCTTAGGCAGGTGTTTTTTGTCAAGGTCTTAAAAATTGCAAAAAAAAATATAAATTTAATTCTTAGGTTTCTTGAGAAAACCAAATTTTTGATGCAACGGTACGTATGAGTAGCATTTATTAGTAAAATTAACACTCATACGTATTAATTACAAATCTTTCTAAAGACCGCCACAGAGATATAGAAAAGAAAAAAATTAGGAAAATAAATCTGTAACTTCTAAAGGATTTTAATGAAATTGTTGTCGATTTAAAGTTTTGAATTTTGTCCTCCTAAGCCCACCGGGGCTTGTCAAAGATTTACAATGTCGAGATGATATTTCTTCATTTGGTGTAATGAACATGAAATCAGCTTTTCGTGTATTTTAAAAATCTCTTGGTAGTTTTTATAAGTCTGTCATTCCGTTTGTATTCTTTCGCCCCTATTCGACCAAATATACCACCATAATCTTTACAGATGGTTCTAAAATGAACTGCATTGTTGGTTCTGGTGTCTTCTGTGAAGAAGCTAGGATAAGTTTATCTCATCGTCTTCCCAACAACTGTTGCGTCTTTCAGGCTGAAATGTTTGCGATAATGATACTACATGACCTCAATATTCGAGGCAACATAGTAATTTTTGTCGATAGTCAAGCGATACTTATTGTACTAACACTTCGCTATTAGTTGCACAATGCAAGAAAGATCTGTCAAGGCTGGGTCTATTATGGAAATGAACAGGCAGATGAGCTTTCCAGAATGGGATCTGCTCTTGATCTCACCAAAGCCGTTCCAGTAGCAACCCCGTTAGGTTTTATCAAGAGTAATATCCTCAGATTCTATCTTGAAAATGAGAAACCTACAAGACTCCTTATAAACCGAAGTTGACGGGATATATCGAGATTGTTAGCAGTAATAACGGGACACTGGGGGCTAGGCAGACATGCTAGTCGACACTGTCTCAGTTGCAAAGACATGGAAAAGGAAGAAACGGTCTTTCATCTTCTCTGGGAATGTCCTGCTTTATCTCTTAAAAGAAACCGTGTTCATGGCAGTTACTTCATATCTAACCTTGGTGAGATATCTGGATCCAAGCTTAATTATATCCTGAGATTTCTCACTGCTATAGGTTGGATCTATTACTATAAAATACTGCATCTGACGAGTGGAGTGGTTCGGTAATGTATATTTAAATCAGTTTTCAGCAGATCTTATATATCTGCGAGATCGGAATCTTCAATGATTCTATCAGACGATCAGCAAAATCGGTCCGTAAATAAGCATGCTTATGCAAAGCATTCTTTGACAAAAAGCAAAAACAACAACAACATACAGCTTTATATGGTAAATGTTGTGCTTGTACTTAGTTTGCTTGTTTATTAAAACGAAGCAGAGCAAGAATATTACTTTAAGTCTGAAGCTGTGTATTGTTATTGCCAAAATCACGGATGGAAAATTGTATGTGGGAAATTAAGCTGAGATGAGAAACAAATTAAATAGTTATGTATATTAATGAAATGAGATTTGTACATTTAGTCAAGAAACATAATGTTAAATATGTACAGCCCGAAGTAAATGAGAACCTATAAGAAGGATTTTTTGGTACTTTTTCGCTCTTCAAAAGGTACTTAAAATTAAACATTCAGATCCCTGATTGAATGACAAGCTGTTGGAAGGGATTTTTAATACTTTTCCTTTCTTTAACTTATACTTTTTGGTTTTCTGCCATATTGAACCTAGAAACATAAAATCAGACCTATATGTCTGATCCTGATAGAATGACAATTTAGAAGAGTAAACTTTTTGGTACTTTTTGTTGTTCAATTGGTACTTTTTCAATCCTTTTGAATATTGATCCTAGAAACTCAAAAATAAACATGCCGCCTACTGATTGAATTAAAATGGAAGTTTCTGGTACTTTTTTGTCATTGAAATGGTTCTTTTTTGAATTACATATACTGATGAAATTAGAATTTATAAAGGTACTTTTTGGTACTTTTTCGTTCCTCAACTGGTACTGTTTACATTTTCAATACTAAAACCTATATAACTGTGAAATTTCGTTAAAATATATTTATAAACAAGAATTTTATTTAAATTTTAAAATTTTTTATGTTCGCAAACAATCAGCATATTTTAGCAACGTTTTCCAACAAAGTCTTCTATGAATTTTTTATTCCTTAAAAAGTTTTTATATATGTATGTAAAAAGTACAAACAATTTCAAAATTAACACAAAATCTGAAAACATGTATTTTTAAATTACTTCATAATTATACCACTTTTTCTTTTAATAATATATCTCCACATATGAAATTACCATTTAATTAAAAAAGAGTTGCTTGAACTCCATTAGCTTTATGGATGGCATTGGTATCATTGTAAATCCCTAATGACATTTATTAACCAAACATACATTCATTTGATTACACTATTTATTATGACAGTAGACATTTATAAATTTGTTTATTTTTGTTTTTTCTTTATTATTTTTATTTTTGTATATACACAAAAACATAAACAAACACGCACACGCAGGCACTCGCGCGTAAAAATATTAGAAAAGAAACCGTTATACCGAAAAAATACAGGACCAGGTTTTTGTTTCAAACGTCTCGTACTATTTTTATAATTGAAAAGTAATGATTGTTTTTGTAACATTTACTATTAGGCCGTCAGAGGTGTTTTTTTGACACTAAAAATAACAACAAAGTTGTTTTTGGTTTTCTTCAAGAAAAGGAAAATAATATTTTTTATTTTCTTCAAAATGAATACTTTAATATTTTGATTTTTTTGTTATTTATTTGAAGTTTTCAAAATATTTCCTTAATTAGTAATTCTTCAAACATTTATTTGTATTTTTTTTTTTTAATTTTTATATTTTATCATTATTTTTTTTAAAGGTATTTAATATTTTATGTTAAATTTTTTATTACTTCCAATTTTTTATTTTTTATTATTGTTATTGTTTTTAAACTACCGCTTTATTATTTCTTTTCAATTCAAAGCCAAACGTATCGTTGTAGAGTTAAAAGACAACTGAAATATTTTTACCAACCTTCAGGATGGAAATAGTTGTATGGAATTTATGTGAAAATTTTCTTTTTCTAAGAAAAAGCTTTAATTATTATTATACTCTTTTGTAGCTATTACTCTCACTTTTTATTTATAAAAGCTTTTTTAACTAGCTTTTCTCAATAACAACATTTTAAAATGTATGTCCTGGGATCAAGGGATAAATCTGTTGGTACTTTTCTCAAAATCAGCTTTATATTTTTCGAATTCTGAAATTAGTTAGTTAGTTAGTCAGTTAGTCAGTTAGTCAGTTAGTCAGTCAGTTAGTTAGTTAGTTAGTTAGTTAGTTAGTTAGTTAGTTAGTTAGTTATTTAGTTAGTTAGTTAGTTAGTAGTTAGTTAGTTAGTTAGTTAGTTAGTTAGTTAGTTAGTTAGTTAGTTAGTTAGTTAGTTAGTTAGTTAGTTAGTTAGTTAGTTAGTTAGTTAGTTAGTTAGTTAGTTAGTTAGTTAGTTAGTTAGTTAGTAGTTAGTTAGTTAGTTAGTTAGTTAGTTAGTTAGTTAGTTAGTTAGTTAGTTAGTTAGTAGTTAGTTAGTAGTTAGTTAGTTAGGTTAGTTAGTTAGTTAGTTAGTTAGTTAGTAGTTAGTTAGTTAGTTAGTTAGTTAGTTAGTTAGTTAGTTAGTTAGTTAGTTAGTAGTTAGTTAGTTAGTTAGTTAGTTAGTTAGTTAGTTAGTTAGTTAGTTAGTAGTTAGTTAGTTAGGTAGTTAGTTAGTTAGTTAGTTAGTTAGTTAGTTAGTTAGTTAGTTAGTTAGTTAGTTAGTATTAGTTAGTTAGTTAGTTAGTTAGTTAGTTAGTTAGTAGTTAGTTAGTTAGTTAGTTAGTAGTTAGTTAGTTTAGTTAGTTAGTTAGGTAGGTAGTTAGTTAGTTAGTTAGTTAGTTAGTTAGTTAGTAGTTAGTTAGTTAGTTAGTTAGTTAGTTAGTTAGTTAGTTAGTTGAGTAGTTTAGTTAGTTAGTTAGTTAGTTCGTTAGTTAGTTAGTTGTAGTTAGTTAGTTAGTTAGTTAGTAGTTAGTAGTTAGTTAGTTAGTTAGTTAGTTAGTTAGTTAGTTAGTTAGTAGTTAGTTAGTTAGTTAGTTAGTTAGTTAGTTAGTAGTTAGTTAGTAGTTAGTTAGTTAGTTAGTTAGTTAGTTAGTTAGTTAGTTAGTTAGTTAGTTAGTTAGTTAGTTAGTTAGTTAGTTAGTTAGTTAGTTAGTAGTTAGTTAGTTAGTTAGTTAGTAGTTAGTTAGTTAGTTAGTAGTTAGTTAGTTAGTTAGTTAGTTAGTAGTTAGTTAGTTAGTTAGTTAGTTAGTTAGTTAGTAGTTAGTTAGTAGTAGTTAGTTAGTTAGTTAGTTAGTTAGTTAGTTAGTTAGTTAGTTAGTTAGTTAGTAGTTAGTTAGTTAGTAGTTAGTTAGTTAGTTAGTTAGTTAGTTAGTTAGTTAGTTAGTTAGTTAGTTAGTTAGTTAGTTAGTTAGTTAGTTAGTTAGTTAGTTAGTTAGTTAGTTAGTTAGTTAGTTAGTTAGTTAGTTAGTTAGTTAGTTAGTTAGTTAGTAGTTAGTTAGTTAGTTAGTTAGTTAGTAGTTAGTTAGTTAGTTAGTTAGTTAGTTAGTTAGTAGTTAGTTAGTTAGTTAGTTAGTTAGTTAGTTAGTTAGTTAGTTAGTTAGTTAGTTAGTTAGTTAGTTAGTTAGTTAGTTAGTTAGTTAGTTAGTTAGTTAGTAGTTAGTTAGTTAGTTAGTAGTTAGTTAGTTAGTTAGTTAGTTAGTTAGTTAGTTAGTTAGTTAGTTAGTAGTTAGTTAGTTAGTTAGTTAGTTAGTTAGTTAGTTAGTTAGTTAGTTAGTTAGTTAGTTAGTTAGTTAGTTAGTTAGTAGTTAGTTAGTTAGTTAGTTAGTTAGTTAGTTAGTTAGTTAGTTAGTTAGTTAGTTAGTTAGTTAGTTAGTTAGTTAGTAGTAGTTAGTTAGTTAGTTAGTTAGTTAGTTAGTTAGTTAGTTAGTTAGTTAGTTAGTTAGTTAGTTAGTAGTTAGTTAGTTAGTTAGTTAGTTAGTAGTTAGTTAGTTAGTTAGTAGTTAGTTAGTTAGTTAGTTAGTTAGTTAGTTAGTTAGTTAGTTAGTTAGTTAGTAGTTAGTTAGTTAGTTAGTTAGTTAGTTAGTTAGTTAGTTAGTTAGTTAGTTAGTTAGTTAGTTAGTTAGTTAGTTAGTTAGTTAGTTAGTTAGTTAGTTAGTTAGTTAGTTAGTTAGTTAGTTAGTTAGTTAGTTAGTTAGTTAGTTAGTTAGTTAGTTAGTTAGTTAGTAGTTAGTTAGTTAGTTAGTTAGTTAGTTAGTTAGTTAGTTAGTTAGTTAGTTAGTTAGTTAGTAGTTAGTTAGTTAGTTAGTTAGTTAGTTAGTTAGTTAGTTAGTTAGTTAGTTAGTTAGTTAGTTAGTTAGTTAGTTAGTTAGTTAGTTAGTTAGTTAGTTAGTTAGTTAGTTAGTTAGTTAGTTAGTAGTTAGTTAGTTAGTTAGTTAGTTAGTTAGTTAGTTAGTTAGTTAGTTAGTTAGTTAGTTAGTTAGTTAGTTAGTTAGTTAGTTAGTTAGTTAGTTAGTTAGTTAGTTAGTTAGTTAGTTAGTAGTTAGTTAGTTAGTTAGTTAGTTAGTTAGTTATTAATTATTTTATCGGTTCCCCTGACTTGAACTACAGATTTCTGGGGTTTTTCAATTTTACCTTGTAAGAATAAGTATGTGTGCTTAATAGTAAAGCTTTTTTAAAAAAGCTCTTTATAGTAAAATCTTGACACTTATTTCCATTCATTGTTATTTTGTCTGTGGAGGAGTTAGAATCCAACACGTGTTTTCTTTCATTGTGTTGGTGTCATTATTTTGTTTATTTTTATGTTTTTCCCCACTTTTTGTTTTGACTAAATTCTCTCAAAGTTTACTGTTAGTAAATTCTCTTACAAGAGAATTTCCATGGTTAACGTGAGTGTAGAGGTATTTGTTACTTAAACGCATGCATGTTATTTATATGTAAAAGCAGGAATGGGAAATTCAGTACTTTTTAATATCGAAATATACCTCCGAAGAACTACGATATTTTCGGTACTTTTTCTAACTTTTGATAAGTAGTCCTCATATCAGTCATTGGACAAGGTTGTAGTCTATTCTAGTTTAAAATTTATTATTTAGTGAAATCTTTAGTAAAGCCAAGTCTTTAGTATAGTCTATAGTTTTGTTTATAATTTAGTCTATAGTCAAATCTATAGTCTAGTCTTGTCCATAGTCTGGCATATAGTCTAGTCTATAGTTTGTCATATAGTCTAATCTATAGTCTGGTCTATGATCTATAGTTTAGCTATAGTCTAGTTTAGAGCCTAGTCTATTGTCTATTCTATAAGCAATAGTTTAGTCTATGTTCTGGTCTATAGTCTAACCTGTATTCTAGTCTATAGTATGATCTATAGTCTGGGATATAGTCTAGCCTATAATCTAGTATATAATCCCATATTTAGTCTAGCCTACTAATAGTCTAGTCTACAATCCAGAATATAGTCCATTCTATAGTCTAGTCTATAGTATAGCCTTTTATCTAGTCTATAGTATAGTATACTCTAGTCTCCAGTATCTAGTCTAGTATATAGTCAAGTCTAAAGTCTATTCTATAGTCTAGTCTAGCGCAAAATTATTTTAGTACTTTAATACCTTAATAAGTACTATATCTTACAAGTTAGTTCTAATTCAAAATTTAAATTTTCCACGGTTGTTAAAGGGCGAAAAGAGTTTAGTTTTCCTCCGTTACTTAATATCACTTGTTTGATTTTTGTTATGCGTATAAACATGTGTTTTTAATGCTTTAGAGACCATTATTCTAAAAATTTCTTTTTTTATAGAAAATCTTTGGATAACTTTTCTTTTATTAGAAATTTTTTCATAAATTTTCTCTTTTAATGAAAATTTTTGGAATATTTCACCTTTTATAGATTTTGAAGAAAAATTTGAAGAAAATGAAAAATCTTTTTTTATAGAATATTCGAGAAATTTATCTTTTTGGAGAAATTCGAAAAATATCTCTTTTTTATAGAAATTATTCGTTAATTTCACTTTTTATAGAAACTATTTGCAAAAGTTTACTTTTGTATTTCGGATTTTTTGTTTTTTTCACTTTTGTTCGAAAAATTTTTAAAAACTTTCTTGTGAAAAATTTTTGAAATTTGGTGTAATTTTCGAATTTTTTTTAATCTAACATTTTTGAAACTGATTTCGTTTTTTTTTTTGCAGCTAAGACTAAGACTAAAATTCTTATTAATGCAGTCTGTACGTATGAGTAACAAATATTTTAATAAAAAATATTTAACACTCATACGTTTCAAATTAAAATTGAACTAAAAATGCTGATAAGGCAAAAAAACATAAATACTTTCAAACTACATTATCATTATTATTATCAAGAGTCATAAGAAGCTCTGAGTACCTAATGTAAATGTAGCACTGTGTTATATTTGATTTCTTCCTTATGTTTTTTTCACTATTTCTTTAGAATTTAAAAGTAGTAAAGCAAATAATTATGTAGTTTTTTATGAAACTACTGCTAACAAAAAGATGAAAATTGTCTATGAGATATAGTGGAAATAAAAATTGATTGCAGTATAAATATTTATTTCTTGTAAAACTACTAGAGACAACATACAAAAACAAGATCCAAAAAATAATTAAAGTTTAAGTGCAGTTATTTATAAAAAG